GTGTGGTGCTGACAGGAATAGTTGTTAATGGAGTGCTTCCTTCACTAGGAGTTGAGTTTGGAATACTGGTACCTTCAGGAGTTGTAGCAGATGAACTGACTTGGATAGAAGTGGTCACAGTTGTGCTGGTGTCAACAGAAGGTGTTGAAAGGGTGCTGCCCTCAGAACTGGCCACACGTGTGGTGCTGACAGGAATAGTTGTTAATGGAGTGCTTCCTTCACTAGGTGTAGAGATTGGCATGGTGGTGGCTTCAGGAGTTGTAGGAGATGAACTGACTTGGGTAGAAGTGGTCACAGATGTGTTGGTGTCAACCGAAGGTGTTGAAAGCATGCTGCCCGGAGAACTAGTCACACGTGTGGTGCTGAAAGGAATAGTTGTTAATGGAGTGCTTCCAACAGTAGAAGTTGAGATTGGCATGGTGGTGACTTCAGCAGCAGTAGGAGATGAACTGATGCCGGTAGAAGTGGTGACAGGTGTGCTGGTGTCTACAGAAAGTGTTGAACGGGTGCTGCCCTCAGAACTGGTCACACGGGTGGTACTGACAGGAATAGTTGTTAATGGAGTGCTTCCTTCACTAGGAGTCGAGGTTGGAATAATGGTACCTTCAGGAGTTGTAGCAGATGAACTGACTTGGATAGAAGTGGTCACAGGTGTGCTGGTGTCAACAGAAGTTGTTGAAAGCATGCTGCCCTCAGAACTGGTCACACGTGTGGTGCTGACAGGAATAGTTGTTAATGGAGTGCTTCCTTCACTTGGAGTCGAGATTGGCATGGTGGTGACTTCAGGAATGGTAGGAGATGAAGTGACTCGTGTAGAAGTGGTCACAGGTGTGCTGATGTCAACAGAAGGTGTTGAAATGGTGCTACCCTCAGAACTGGTCAGACTAGTAGTGCTGACAGGAACAGTTGCTAATGGAGTGCTTCCTTCACTAGGAGTAGGGATTGGCATGGTGGTGATTTCAGGAGTTGTAGCAGATGAACTGACGTGGGTAGAAGTGGTCACAGGTGTGCTGGTGTCAACAGGAGGTGTTGAAGGTGTGCTAGGATCAGAAAGGGTCACCGATATGGTGCTGACAGGCAAAATTGTTAATGGAGTGCTTCCTTCACTAGGAGTCGAGATTGGCATACTGGTACCTTCAGGAGTTGTAGGAGATGAACTG